ATTTCCTGAGTAAAGAATGTCTCTGTTGCATCTAAATTAATCTAAAAACGGAAACAAAGAGTACTCATTTGGGTGTAACTTGAATGTCACATTGTAGGTTATTTTGTCAGCACCAATGTATACTGGCTCTGAGAAGTTTTTTTTTTTAATTCAAGAACAAGAAAAGCATTTTCATTTGTATGCCGTTGCATATTCTTGATGGAGTTTTTATGGTATAGAAAATAATCCCCAGTTAGCAAACTTACACTTATTTCATGAGCAACACACATGTCAACCAAAAGAAACACAGTTTGTTGGTTATTTTTTTCATTGGTATTAGAACGGATATTCAGAAAATCATGATTTTCATACAATGGTTCATTTTTATATTGTAGTTCACAAAATTGATATAAATGAAACATGAAAATGACAATGTTTGAGTCATTTAAAATAGGTTCCTATGGAGAAAAGATCATTTCATATCTGAAAATATTGTTTAGTTACATAGTCATAAAATGGCATAAGATAGGTAATTTAATTTTATTTTCCATGGATTTTACAAGAATTCTTATAAGTAGCACTTTCGAAACAAAATATTGAGATAAAATTTTCATCCCATTTAATAAATATTTAAATACCCCAAAAAAACCATAATAAAAAAAGGACACAATGTTCGATAGAGATTCATGTTGTTTATGCATAAGCTTACATTAATGTGTTTGAAATGAAATATAATTTGTCAGTGTTTTAATGCTATAATTACATTACATAATTACAACTTGGATTTGATCACATATTAACCAAAAAGTCACATTTCAGTGATTATTTTGTTAAGTTAAGTTGCACAGTACAGTAAAAATCATTAAAATCTATGTGTCTAATTATTTCCTAGATTTCTAGTGCATCTGCAATGAGAGAACTGTTTACATAAGAATAAAAGTAATTTTAAAATCTATGTGTCTAATTATTTCCTAGATTTCTAGTGCATCTGCAATGAGAGAACTGTTTACATAAGAATAAAAGTAATTTTAAAATTTCTTACCTCTCCTTCTAATATTTGTGTTGCAATATCTTTGCCTGTTTTAGCAGGAACAAATAATGGTGTTGGTGGTCTATCAAGGAAAGCATCAGTTTGAACTTGGACATCAGCTTCCTCCACTCTATCACTCAGCTCTTCTAAGTATAATTCTGTTTGGACATCAATGTGTTTGCGTCCTTCTACTGGTTCAGGTGACCTTGGACGAAGTTGATCCTTGGCACGTTTTCTGGCAACAGCACGCCGTCTGGCTTCTTGCTGTCTCTGCACTTCAATGGGATCTGGTTGAGCATTCTATAATAATTGATGATAAAAGGTCATTAATTATCAAAGATATTGTTTTAATTCCCAGTTTATGTCAAAATGTTATTTAACAGTGATATGATATTCTTGTGATGAAAAATTCTGCCGAGGTACAATCTATTATATTATACCAGCCCAATGTTTGGATGTTACAAGTGACTATGATCACAGTGCCCTAGCCAGTGTCAATTGGCTACACTTCTTTGGCTTGATGTGTGGTTCAACCAACCCTTGTATATTATTCAAACAATTCTGACTGTATACTCATCATGAAGTGTATTTTTTGATGCTTTGGATTGGTTGGCCGCCTTGCCACACTAACATGTTCATGCACTGCTGTAAGATAACTATAAACTAGATGCCCCATTTTTTTGTTTAACTACCGGTAATTATCATGTACTTGGATTGTTATTTTTATCAGACAGCACAATCTGAGCAGTTTTGAGTAATACAGTATATGATTTACCGGTAAATAATTCAACATGTATTCTAGTACAGGAGCAGTTTTACACATAACAGCTTGTGTGATCATGACAAATCATTACCACATTGATCAAGGTTGTCATCTGATCAAATTATCATTGTAGAAAGTCACGCATGACTTTATGTAATTTAAAAGTTTATCTCATGCAGTTATGATGTTTAATTTGTAAAAAAAGATAAAATTTCAACTACGATGTCCACTGCATTGAAATCAAAACACTCTTATGAGCAGAAGCAAACAAAATCATATAATTAGTTACATTTATCTGATGCACTTTAGTGAATATGAATCGATCAGTTTTTGTTTTTCAAATACCATCTTAGTTTGGTTAATAGAATGTAATTTTTAATATATGTATTACATTATACATCCACAGCAGCTCATTCAGAGCCCATAGAAATACATAGTACAATGGTGCCCATCTTAGCAACATAGAACGTTCCGCCCCTTTGAGAATTCACTATTTTTATTTTTAAATTGACTTTAATAGAAGATGACAAGCCAAATTAGAAATACTACACTTTCTCCTGGGAGGGGGGGGGGTGCAATGAAGTTCATATCTGCTCTTGCATGTAAAACACTAGGGAGGTCATTAAATTCAGTATTGAACAACAAGAGAATTATATGGTGAAACTTGTTGAACTCGATCATCAACACAATATTTTGACATAAAATAACTTACCGCAGGAAGTGTGTGCTGTGCGTATGTGTTTCCTCGCACAATACGCCTGTCGTACATAATATTGCCATATGGAGCGGAGGGGTCATTTCTAGATAATAAAGAGTATATCAGTATGAAAATACAAGTATAATTGAAATTGTTAATCAGCAAGAAAATTGGCAAGTGAGATTAATCAGAATGAAGTGTTCGATTCACGCGCCACAATGTGTTCGTTGACACCCGCGTTGTCAACGTTATTTTCAGGATTAACAAAACAGAGCTTTTCGGAGACAGCTAAATGGGAATAAATGAATTAATTAAGCTAACCACGGATAATCACAAGTAAAATCAAACGCAACTATTAAAAATCTCCCAAATAGGTTCAATATCTAATAATAAATAAACCAACTTAGTGGAGGTGAGAAAATAAACAAAACATTCACCAACACATTCTGTATACACACGCATTTACAACATACTGTTTGACCCACAAACTACCAAACTATTTGGTGCCAAAATTTTAAGTCAAGTTCAAACAGTAAGATCTTACAAAAATTAATAATAGCTCAACAATCAGACACAATTCGAAATTACAGATGACAACGACAAACTTCCGATTCGATCCACTAGGAAATATTGTATGTATATAAATCAGGACCAACAGTGATCATTTTAGTTACAAATAAGATCTTAGAATAATTCCTACTTTCTATAACAACTACTGGGGGGGGGATGTTGACAGCAGGATTTGTTGTAACTAACTTACTGTTGTAAAAGTGCTGGGTCTTGTCTGTATTTTTTCCTCTGTGGCACTGCTCTGGGTTGGCTGGCAAATGTGTATGTGCCACTCTTCTGTTGTGGTATCACCGTCGTCATGTTGATAAGTTGACAGAAGTCTAGCAAATACGTCCTTCAACAATTCCGACAACAGTTAGTGAGAAGTTTGTACAAAATTACAGGTCTTAATCACACAAACTGAACAATCTTTACAGGGCTAACTACGGTAAAATATTACTCTTCGATAATGGCGTTCACTGTTTCCCTGTACACATGAACATTTTACATTAACCACGGGTCATTCAAATCACTCCGCAAAACGTGTGGGCCTGTTCTTATCCAACAAAAAAAAATTTTTTAAATGAACATGCACTCTTGAGATTAACAAATGATTTAGCGAGTTAGCTATATAGATCTGAACTATGAAAAACATGAATATAAACTAATAAACGGAATATTTTTTGAGGCGGATTGATAAATTGTTTGAGTAGTTCGGCATAAATATTGTGAACAAGGGTTGCCCGTAGATACAAACACGCGTAATTGTAGTCTCGTGAAACGCGTGAGCGTAACCACACGATAGAATCACACTCAAAATCACGGGTATAAAGACAGCGTACGATTCGATTCACGTACGATTTAAATACCTACGCGTGCTCAAACAATTATGAAATAGCAATAGAAACATACAAGAAACGCATAATTATGTTTTAAAAAAAACTTGAATAAAAAATATAGTATCAAATTATCCCCACTCAGTACTAAAAAAACTAAAGAAATCTTGGAAACAAGGACGTTGACGATGTTTTTATTGATATTCATTGCCCTTTGATCTTCTTTGTGCACTTCAGACGGAGTCAAGGAACTGTCATGTGCACTATAAAAGTATTTATAACCTTCATTTACATGGACAATAAAAAGTTTATTCCTATTTTTCCACAATATTGTTACATTGGCTCAAATTTCTAAATATCAACATTCGCGTGAATTATAGGTATTTCAATGAGACTATTAATCGTACGTCAATCGTACGTGAATCGAACCGTACGCTGTCTTCACACTCGTCTCAAAATCAGACTGGGCATGCGGAATGCCGGGGGGGGGGGGGGGGGGCTTCTTCCACATTAAGTGGGTAAGGGTGTGCAGCCCACCTCTCGTAAACCAATACTCACTTCTAAACCATTTTTTTTTCTATTTAAATATACCCCACTTCTAAACACAAGTGTTTTCAGCCAACAACAAAAAGACACCCCAGCTTACAACTTTCGCAACCAGTGAGCGCATCCTGGTGGCGATGCATTTTATT